TGAGCCCCAGGACGGTAGGGCAGGAGTGGAGGCAGGCAGTCGAGGGTGGTGTGCTGGGGTGGCTGTGTGGGGCCGTGAGCACACACACTGCACAGGCTCTCCACATCACCCAAGACACTGTGGGCATGCCTCCCTGTGCCAGCCCTGTTCCTCTATAATTCTGGGGCACACAGAGTGGCACGCCAGCATCTCCTCTGACCCTTCCTGTGCGTTCAGAACTGGCGTTGCTCACTCTGGGCTTCCTGGTTCCTAGGAGAAGGTGCAGGAGGTAACTTTGGCCTCTCTGCCCTCCCCAGCACTCCTTGGCATGTGGACATGTGCGACAGAGAGAGAGAGAGAGAGAGAGAGAAGCGGGTGGGGCCGCCCCAGCCAGCTGGCACAGGGTCACGTCTCTCTGTCAGAGCTCAGTGAGCGCTGCTGGTCTTGTAAAACCTGTGATGGTAATTGAATCCGGGCAGGAGTCCTTGACAGGGGCTGTTAAATGCAGGAGCAGGAGTGGGCTTGGGTTTACGGGCTCCCAGTCCCCAGCTCCTCTCCCAGTCCCCAGCTCCTCTCCCGGTCCCCAGCTCCTCTCCCGGTCCCCAGCTCCTCTCCAGAAAGGCCAGGGCTGAGCTTCTCCTGGGGCTTGGATGCGATGGAGCAAGGGGATGGACTTGATGACCCCCGCCCCGAGAGCAGCCGGCGACTGGCCTAGGAGCCACAGTCTGTGTGTTTCCACCCAGGGGCTCAGGAAGGCCCCGGGAGCTGGCTCCCTCCGTGGGCGGGTGGTCATCCTTCAATCTGCGCTCCCGTGCCCCGGGTTCCGCCCTGCAGTGGCATGGGGGTCGGCCCTGTGCCTGCTCCCAGGCTCCTAGAAGAGGAGACGGTGGGACACTGACCTTCTGGAATGCCAGGAAGGGAGGGAGCCCAGGATGAGCAGCTGAGGCCCCTGGGGTGGTCAGGCCAGTGCTGAGGCTGGGGGCAGAGAAACTGCTGCCCAAAAGGGTGGAGGGGGCATGGGTGGAGGGGGCATGGGTGGAGTGGGCGGGAGTGTTCCCGGCTGGTCCAGAGAGGTTGACCATTGTCCCCAGGGTGGTCTGGCACACCTGTGGCTGTGCCCAGGTAGGAAGGCTGCTGTGCCTTCTGGAAAGGCTGCTCCTGAAAAGGACACATCACCAGACATCTGCCCTTCGAGGGGCCTCTGCCTTGGAACAGTGGAGCTGCGACCTCCCTGCAGAGCTGGTGGGGGCAGAAGCAGCGCTGGGCACACCTGGCCGGGTGAGGGCAGCGAGGGTGGTGAATTATTTAGAGTCGCCAAAGGTGTTGAGTTAGAAGCTAATTAAACAAGCTCTCCGCAGAGCAGCGCTGTAAAAGAATCATAAAACTCCAATCTCATTTGTTCCGCTCGGCTTGCACAGGTGCAGCACGCCCCATAAAAGGCGGCCAGCGCTGCACAGTCTGTGGGCAGCTTGCAAGTGTGCGGCCTTCAGCGGTGCTCTGCAGGGCCGTCCTGGCTGGCTAGGGCCCAGGCTGGAGAAAGCCCTGGGCGTGTGCTGGCAGCTGGGAGGCTGCGGCCCCCCAGGCAGCCCCTCGGTAGGGGCAGTTCTCACTCAGGGTGAAAGGGAGACCTATTGTGGAATGGTGAGGTGGCTTCACTAGCCTGCAGGTGACCCAGGGCGCCCTTTGTGGTGCTGCTGTCCTGCTGCCTTGGGTCTTGGAATGAGGCCTTCTGGTGCCCAAGCCACAGTGGGCAAGGCTGCTTCACCCTTGAGTTGTCATGGAGTGGGAGCGAGAAGCTGGGCTTGCAGAGGAAGGAGAGGGGTTTCTCTGTACTGGCCTGAGAGAGGACTCTGGGGTGGCGCTGTGGGCCGGGACGCTGCTGGCCTCTGCCGTGCACCTGCTGTGTGCGGCTCTGCACCAGGAGCCCAGACTGCAACGGGGGAGGGAACCTGCAATTCCCACACGCCTGCCATAGCTTGTCCAGCAGAGCTCAGTGGGGGGTCTGCCTCTTTGACACCTGAGGGAGGGGCGCAGGCAGGAGGGGAGGGGACTGGTGCTTCTAAAGCCCGCCCACTCAGGCAGGGGGACGTGCCTTAGGGCTGAGTGTGAGGTGGGGGCTCAGAGCTTAGGCCCATGTGAGGGGCTGACTAAGCTCCAGGCTTTGCTGCGAGGGGTTTGGGTGGGTGTGTTTAGGCAAATCCCTTTAGCATCGGGGGACTCGGGCTGCATCCTCTACAGCAGATGCCGTATTGCCTCCTGGACCTCCCTCTACCATGCCTCTGTTTCCTTGTTTCCACCGCTGTCACGGAGGCAGCGTGACTGGTCGCTGAGGGTGCAAGGCGCTCACCGCTGTCACGGAGGCAGTGTGACTGGTCACTGAGGGTGCAAGGCACTCTCTGTGTGTTGGGCTCCCTCGTGGCTGGCAAAGGCTCCGCATGCCCAGCGGGTTGCAGTTTGCAGACAGAGCTCACTTGGTTCCTGGGACCTGTGAGTCCCTGCAGTGCTCCAGGGCGTCCACTCAGTTGAAGGATGGGATGGGACAGCTGGAGGTAAAGTGGGTACCGGGGTCATTCCTACTATAGCTGGGTCTGTCTTTCTGGGTCTCTGACCTTCCAGAAGGACAGCTCTGCCCTGTGGGCCCCTCGGCACGCGCATGAAGCTTCTGGGGCCTGGACCATTCCCGTCCTATTGAGGGAGGATGCAGGGTGGAAAGCGCTCCCCCAGCAAGGATGAAGGAGAAGCCGGTGGCCGTGATTTGCCATTGTCCCTGTCACCTGGGTGTCCTGAGACCCCCCTGGGGACCAGCCTTGGAGGGTCCAGCCTTAGCCAGACAGGCAGTGCCTGGTTGTCCAGGTTGATGGCCCAGCTCCTACCCTCATCGGCAGCTGGCTTTCATGAGTCTGCCATGCACTGTGCGTACAGGGCAGGTCTGGTCACATCTGGAGTTTGGAGAGCCCAGCTGTGCTCCTCCTGGGCAGGACTAGGGGTCACCTAGGCCTCTCTGTAGCTCTGGAGGCCAAGGCAGGGCCGTGAGCAGTGGCCAGGGTCCCACTGCTTATCTGGAATCTGCAGTCCAGCTTCGAGCCCCACACAGCAAGCCCAGGAGCCCGGGCTCCATCTGCAATGACAGGCAACAGGCAGACAGTGTGGGCACCCGGAGCGTGGGTGTGCATGCTGTGATTTGTTGCCATCTCAGCACAGAACAGGCTGCTTTCTCCAGCCTGGGTGGCCTGCCGTTTGGTGTGGGGCCAGGGGACGCCATCGTGTGGCATGTCAGGCCTCTTTGTCTCCTGGCTGGAAGATGTTGATGGATTCTCTATTGCTCGTTTGATCAAATTGTCCAGAACACAAAGGGGGAGATTGTGGCAAAAGTCACATTTGGAAAAAACAATTCCTCATCCTGACAGCAGTCCCTGGAGAGAGGGCTGGTCCCGCTGGGTCCCCAGCACAGAGAGTGCTTGGAAATCTGGCTGGCAGGCGAGACCTGTAATTAGGGCTAGAGTGGGCTCCATGGCCAGGAGCAGGACAAGGAGAGGCAGCCCGCCAAGGAGGATGCCCTGAGACCCTACCCTGAGATTCAGGATTTGTGGCAAGCGTGGCCTGTCACGTGGGAGGCACCTGCAAGTTCACGGGCAGCGGAATGCGGAATAAAGTGGCGTGATCTGCCATTCAGGCTCCTATAGCAAAACAGCCTGAGCAGGGGGCTATCGAGACTGACGTCTCCCAGGTCTGGAGACTGGAAGGGAAGGACCCTGGCAGACGCCTTGTCTGTGAGGGCTGCTTTTGTTCTCCAGTTCAAGGATGGCTGTCTTCCGGCTGTGTCCTCACGTGGAGGACGGGGTGACGGAGCTCTCCAGGGTGTGTTTGTAAGGTCCTTAATCCCATTCCCGAGGGCTCCACCTAACTCCCAAAGGCCCTGCCTCCCAATTCCATCACGCTGGACCTGAGGTTTTCAACAAGGAATTTGGGGGTGACTCAAACGTGGAGACCATAGCAACGTCTGCCCTGCAAGTACAACACAGCAGATAAAAAGACAAGTTAGGTCCTCAGGGAAAGACAGACGATGTCCATAGCATCTGGGGACTTCTGGCCATGGTAAACATGGATTCAACATGCTGCTCCTTGACTCAATAGACGTTGGGTCTTGTTGGTGGCACAGTTCCAGGTGGGTCTTCCTGGTTGAGGGCCCAGGGCCTTCCAGGGCTCTGCCACCCTATTGGGTCTCACTTCCCCCTGAGGAGGGTGGAGAATCCTGACAGGAGGTGGAAATGGCCACATGGAGCTGTGACGGGTGGGGAGGGTGGCCGGGTCATGTGGGCAGACGCAAAGGCAGCCTGGGTACTGCGGGCAGTCAGCCCTGTCCTCAGCAGTGTGCACAGTCGCTGGGGAAAAAAAGAGAAACCCCAGAGCGACGTGTGCCATTCGATGCCATCCACGGAAACACACAAAGCACAGCTGCGTTTCCCTAGACGCGAATGCATGAGGTGCACAGGGAATGTTCTGGAATGACACACACCAAGGGGAGAAGGGCTGTCACCCTGGGGAGGCCACTTGGACCGAGGAAGGGAGAACAGGGGATTTCTGTGTCTATAAAGTTTGAATTTTCATTATATAAATTTATTCACAAATCATTTGCATAATTAAAAAAACAAACTGGAATACAGTATAAGAGGGGTAGTGATAAGAGGAATGAATTCAGAAGTGAGGTGTTAACTGGGGGCATTGATCCAGCAGCCTGGCCATCTCCAGCTCTCCCCTTCAAGCCACCTCCCAGGCCCCCAGGCTGTCAGGGGCCCCAGGCCAGGCAGGTGATCAGAGCTTTCCAGTTCTGCCAGACTGAAGGGGTGGGCAGTGGGGAGCAGGTGCCTCTACCATCCCGTGGTCCCAGCTCCTCAGGCACCATCCTTCATGGACAGCCCCTGCGACACCTCCCTGGGGTACAGTCCTGCACTGTGGACTGGTGCTGGGGCCTGGCCAGGTGTCGAACACAGGTGATAGAGCCATATCCCCCTCTCTCCCAGGATTCACGTCTGCAATATGGAAGGGAGACCCTTGGGAGCTCAGAGACTGCCGAGGCCCCTAGGCTCAGGTGAGTCCTGCCGGGCTGCGTTCCAGAGGGCAGACAGGAGGTGATGTGGGACTCAGGGCTCTGATGATAGCAGCTGCTGGAGAAAGAGTGGCATTAAAGTGGGACTGGGAGAAGGCTGGGTCCAGCTGCAATGCATGGATGGGTGAGGTGCTTGCTGGCTGGGAACCCAGCCTGCGGGGGCTTTGGTGATGAAGGTGTCTTTGGGTGGAGATGTCTTGGGGGAGGTGGCCTGGGGCAGCTCAGAGGCTGGCTGTGTCTTCCTGGCCCTGTCGCCCTTAGCATGGGGTGTCCAGAGTTGTTGCCTTGTGGACCAAGACAGCCCACAGCCCATGGCAGCTTCCAGAGCCAGAAGAACAGGAGTCATCTCTGAAGAGCCCTGGGCTACCTCTTTGCTGATCTCATTGGCCAGAACTTTCTGGCTCTCATGCTCACCCCAAGGCCAATCACTAGCAAGATAAAAAAGCAGCACCCCTGCAGGGCCGAGACCAGCTGTACTCTGGGCAGGGGAGGGGCTGCCCCTTCCTTACTGGAACTCAGTTAAATTTATTTTTATTTTTTAACATAAAGAAAAGGCAATGGGAATTCAGTGAGTGGACGACTAGCCACCTCTGTGGCTGCCTGCCGTGTGAGCGTGGACCGTGTTCTGTCCTTGGTCTCCTCGTGGCTGCCTGCCGTGTGAGCGTGGGCCGTGTTCTGTCCTTGGTCTCCTCTGTGAAGCAGGAATAAAAGCAGGGACTAGGTTCTGACCCCTCAGACCTCGCCCCTGAGCTTTCCACGTCTGTATCCATTTGCTCTTCATCCCTACCCTCAAGACTTTCAGGATTCCGTCTGCAGATGAGGACTCAGAGGCCCCAGCTTACGGGGCTGAGCGGAGGGGCCAGAGGTCCAGCCCAGAGGCCATTGGCTCCCTGGAGCTCTGGGAGCTCCCGGCTCCCAGCAGTGCGTGAATGTGCATACGTGCGTGGGTGTGTGTGAATGTGTGCATGTGTGCATGCCTGTGTGAAGTGTGTGCATACATATGTGTGAATGTGTGCATGTGTGTGCATGTGTCAGGGAGAAATACACATTAACGTGCCAGTGGCACACCATCCCCCCTCCATCATTCATTCACAGCCACATATGCATATGTGTGTGAATGTGTGCATGTGTGTGTGAATGTGTGTGTCGGGCATGTGTGCATGTCTGAGTGATTGTGCATGTCTGTGAATGTGTGTGCATGCATATATGAGTGCATGTGTGCATATCTGTGTGTGTGCATGTCTCTGTGTGTGCATGCATATATGAGTGCGTGCATGCATATCTGTGTGTGTGTGTGCATGTCTGTGAATGTGTGTGTGTGCATATTTGCGCATGTGTGCATGTCTGTGAAAGTGTGTGTGCATGCATATGAGTGCATGTGTGCATATCTGTGTGTGTTTACATGTCTGTGAATGTGTGTGCATGTATATATGAGTGTGTGTGCATATCTGAGTGGATGTCTACATGTCTGTGAATGTGTGTGTGCATGCATATATGAGGGCGTGCATGCATATCTGTGTGTGTGCATGTCTGTGAATGTGTGTGTGTGCATATTTGCGCATGTGTGCATGTCTGTGAAAGTGTGTGTGCATGCATATGAGTGCATGTGTGCATATCTGTGTGTCTACATGTCTGTGAATGTCTGTGCATGCATATATGAGTGTGTGTGAATATCTGTGTGTGAGTGCATACATGTCTGTGAATGTGTGTGCACGCATATGTGTGCATATCTGTGTGTGTGAGTGTGTGCATGTCTGTGAATGTGTGTGTGCATGCATATATGAGGGCGTGTGTGCATATCTGAGTGTATGTCTACATGTCTGTGAATCTGTGTGTGCATGCATACATGAGGGCGTGTGTGCATATCTGTGTGTGTGTCTACATGTCTGTGAATGTGTGTGTGCATGCATATATGAGGGCGTGTGTGCATATCTGAGTGTATGTCTACATGTCTGTGAATGTGTGTGTGCATGCATATATGAGGGCGTGTGTGCATATCTGTGTGTGTGTCTACATGTCTGTGAAAGTGTGTGTGCATGCATACATGAGGGCGTGTGTGCATATCTGTGTGTGTGTGCATGTCTGTGAATGTGTGTGTGCATGCATATATGAGGGCGTGTGTGCATATCTGAGTGTATGTCTACATGTCTGTGAATCTGTGTGTGCATGCATATATGAGTGCGTGTGTGCATATCTGTGTGTGTGTCTACATGTCTGTGAATGTGTGTGTGCATGCATATATGAGTGCGTGTGTGCATATCTGTGTGTGTGCCTACATGTCTGTGAATGTGTGTGTGCATGCATATATGAGTGCGTGTGTGCATATCTGTGTGTGTGTCTACATGTCTGTGAATGTGTGTGTGCATGCATATATGAGGGCGTGTGTGCATATCTGAGTGTGTGAGTGATTGTGCATGTCTGTGAATGTGTGTGCATGCATATAGGAGTGCATGTGTACATATCTGTGTGTATGTCTCTGTGTGCATGCATATATGAGTGCGTGCATGCATATCTGTGTGTGTGTGTGCATGTCTGTGAATGTGTGTGCATGCATATATGAGTGCGTGTGTGCATATCTGTGTGTGTCTACATGTCTGTGAATGTGTGTGCATGCATATATGAGTGCGTGTGTGCATATCTGTGTGTGTGTCTACATGTCTGTGAATGTGTGTGTGCATGCATATATGAGTGCGTTTGTGCATATCTGTGTGTGTGTGCGTGTCTGTGAATGTGTGTGTGCATGCATATATGAGTGTGTTTGTGCATATCTGTGTGTGAGTGCATACATGCCTGTGAATGTGTGTGCACGTATATATGTGTGTGCATATCTGTGTGTGAGTGCATACATGCCTGTGAATGTGTGTGCACGTATATATGTGTGTGCATATCTGTGTGTGTGTGTGTGCATGTCTGTGAATGTGTGTGTGCATGCATATATGAGTGCGTGTGTGCATGTGCATGCACATGTGTGATGAGCCCAGCTACCAAGGCACCTGCTAAACACTGCACCTGCACCCTGGAAACCCTCCCACATGCCATCAACCAGGGTCATGAGTCAGCAGACATGATGTGCCTGACGGCAGTGCTCCTAAGAGAAGCCTAAACAATTTTCATAGGAAATGCATCTAGGAGCTGGATTGTATAAATGCGACACTAATTACATAAAATTTCAAAAATACCGTGCACAAAGAAAAATAGTCTCCCCATTATCATATTCCCCCATGTCACCTACCATAAACATGTTGATGTCAAAGGCTTTTGGGTTTTGTCTGTGCACATGTTCGTGTTTTAGGTCATTTTTTTCTCACAGGTTGAGACTGCCTTATCTACTGCTTTGTAAACCTGGAAGATTTTTGTTGTGAATAAATACATGCCGCAACAATGCCTAATGCTTTTGTAGGGTTCTGTTATTTGGATGTGCCACTGGTGGTGACGGCTGGTCCCTGGGTGGCCTTTTGAGGTGCTTCCAAATCTCTTCGATGGTGACATCACCTCTGCTGCCTCTCCAGCCACAAGTCCGGGCACCTCCCCTGCCTCCTCCTTCCTGCTGCTTCTTCTCAGCCTCCAGGCACATTCCTGTGCAGGGCCTTTGCACATCCCGGGATTCTACCGGGGCTGTGCCCTCCCCAGGTCTTCTCACAGTCTGTCTGTCACTCCTCTGGGGCCTCTGCTCCATTGTTTCTGGTCTGATGATGGCTTCCAAGTCAGTCCTCTGGAGTGGCACATTCGGGCCACATGACACGCCGGCCTACACTGTCCCCAGGGACGGTGGCCACTTGCTCTCCCACCCCCTCTCCTCCCATGCCCACCTCCCAACCCTGGCCAGCATTTGAAATCTCCAGTGTTTGAGTCTTTTTCACCCCCATGGCCAGCTTGGTGAGAAATGGCTTCTCACTGTTGGAGCGTGTCTGGCTATACGCGATTGCACATTTCCGTGCCTCTTGTCACTTGCCCTTGTTTTATGAATTGCTACTTTGACCTTTTTGCTCATTTGTCTATCCAGTGCCCATCTCTTCCCAATGATTCCTGTGTTCTCCGTGTGGGTCGCTGGGGATGAGAACGGGAGCTTTTCCTCCCCCACACTGAGTCTAGCGTTCAGGGTGGAGTGACATCCGAATGGCCACCAGCATGCAGTGGGGGCTGGCACTCCTCGAGGCCAGCAGGGTTTGGGGGTTGTCAGGGCTGTGTGCCACCAGGGCTTGGCAGGTCCCCAGGTGTGGCGTTTGCCATGTAGGTGTCCCCTGCGCCACAGCCCCTGTTCCCTGCCACCTTCCCCTGATCCTGCTTCTCAGGTGAAATGTGGCCTGGGAGCTTCTGGTTATGTGGAAGACAACAGCTGTGGAGGCCTCCCCATGACCTCAGGGGCCACTGTGGAGAAGGGCTCACTGGATGCAGACAGGGGCAGATGGCCTGGGGGTCCCGAGCCATGACATCTGTCCTGTGTTCAGCTGGGAGGGTGCCGTCATTGGAACCAGCAGGCACAGGAAGGAGGGACCTTGTGTGGCGGCAGGTGGAGGGGTCTGCGTGTGTCCCTCCCTGCCATGGCAACCTGTTTGCCTCCGTCTACCCTGCCTTCAAGTGCCAGAGGGTATGGGGACAGCAAGGGCCGCAGTGGCAGCGAGGATCCTGCAGACGTTGCCCTGCAGTGCCCTGGAGATCTATAGACCTGGGGCCCCACTTGCAGAAGCCAGGCCTGTGCGTCAGGTTTCGGGGCTCCTCAGCCCATTCCCATGCCATTACTGAGGCTAGTAACTGTGCCCCCCTTCAGGAGTCCCTGGGGCGGCTGCTCACTCCTGGCTGTGCAAACACCCCTTCTTTCCGAAGGCCACCAGCCTCCTCTGTCTTGCTAATAGCCCTGTTCTTTTAATGAAGGATAATCAGTGTTTACCCAGAGCCTTCACAAACAGCTCCTGATGCTTGGTTTCATTATGCATGCAGGCTTTGTGCAAAGCTGCTTCCAGCTGCCTGTGTGGCCTGCTGCAGGGGACGTCCGGCTGGAGGGCCCACCATCCTCTCGCCATGGCCCAGCACCCTCCAGGCCTCGCTGCTGGCCCCTGGGGCAGCTTCAGGGAGCTAGGGTGGTGACAGCATCTCGAGACCCTGCCTGGGCAGACCTCCTCCTGTCAGCTCCTCCTCTGTCTAAAGCGCCCTGCTTGCCAGGAGGTGCAGCACCTGCCTAGCTGGACAATATCCAGGACACAGGAAGCACCCGATAAATTACAGCCAATAAAATGTCTAGTAATGGCTGCTAGCATGTCTGCAAGCCGTCTGTGTTCTGGGTACTGTACTGGACACCTCGTGTGTGTGTCAGGGGCAAATACGCATTAAAGTGCGAGTGGCACAGCTGTCCCTCCCCACCTCTGCCCCCGCCACCTCCATCCCCCTCCACCTCTGCCCCTCCCTGCCCCCCCAGCTCTCCCCCCGCTGCCCCACCATCAGTGGGGGCTCTTGCTGCTGCTCGGCTCTACGGCCTTTGATAGAACCTGGCAGATGGTGGGTTTTGGAGCAGAAGATGCCCAAGAAGAGAAGGAAAGGCACACGGGTGTGGGTTGGGGAGGGAGGGAGGCTGCAGTGGCAACAGGAGAGGTGGGGCAGGTGAGAAAGGAAGGTGGGGGGGAGGGCACTTTGCGGAGACAGAGGTCACTGAGGGCCTTCGGGCTCCTGCCTGGGGCCAGGCCCTGCAGTGCCTCCCAGAGCAGCCCTAACCAAGAGAGTTCACTGGAAATCAAGACAGGCCCCGCGCCCCTTACTCCTGCCAATTTAGAGTTAGATCTGTACTTGTTTCTGGAAGTTTCTTACGTGAGGGGTTGGCCGAAGGTACATGTCTGGATCTCACCCTCGCCCAGTGACCATTCCACCTTGGCCAGAAGGCGCTGACGTCCCGGGTCGAGGGCCTGAGTGAGGGCCTGGGAGTGCCCACCCTACCCTCTGCAGCTTCCTCTTTCCCACAGCCTCTCTGTCCTCCAGTATCCAGAGGCCCTGAGCTGGTCACCGCATTGTCACTTTGTGACGCCAAAGCCCTGGGCCAGCCTTGCCACCAGCTCTTTGGCTCCCGTGTGTTGGGGCGGGGCCCCACGGAGCTCCGGGGGTGGCTGTTTGGAGTGGGCGCACGGCACACGGGCATGAAGTCTCTGGCCGTGTTCCACGTGTCCACGCGCTGATGAGCTTTAAGAGATCACATTTCTGTGTGTCCGAGATCTGCCTTGGAAGGGGTCTTGCTGGGGTGGGGAGAGGGGCTCTGCTGGGGAGGGGGGCAGGGGTGTGGGAATGGGGGTGTCGGCTACTGGGCACGGAGAAGAGTCCCTCAGACGTGCTCCCCGCTTCTCCCCGTGACTCGCCGCCTCTTTCTGAAAGTGGGTTTTGTTCTTCCCAGCATCTGTGGTTTCTGATGGATTCTAAAACATTTAATAAATATTTGGCTTCCATTTTCAAAATGTTTTGTGCTCTTTTTAGGTTTCCTTATGGAAAGAGACTGAGATATTCTTATTTCAACTCCCAGGAACCCACGAGTGTCTTTTACTTCCTCCCACTCTTACCTCAGACTGCCTGGTTTGTCCTGGTTTGGAGGTGAAGGCTCTGGCCCAGAGCTGCGGAATTGGTTCCCCAGGGCTTGCAGGAGTAGGCCAGGGGGCTGCAGTGGCCAGGGGGCTGGAGGGGCCAGGGGGCGGGAGGGGCCAGGGGCCTGCAGGGGCCAGGGGTCTGCAGGGGCCAGGGGGCTGCAGGGGCCAGGGGTCTGCAGGGACCAGGGGGCTGCAGGGGCCAGGGGGCTGGAGGGGCCATCTGCTATCGGCCTTTTCCCTTGAAAATAAGCCAGTGCTTCATTTCCATTCTTTTAGCAGAAAGTGAGCTGGCCGTGGGCCTCAGAGTGCTGGCCCGGGTGTGAGGGGACTCCACACTTCTGCGGGGACTCCAGCCAAGCCTCACCCATCCCCAGAGTTCTCCTTTGTCCCCTGTGAGGCCCCAGGGCAACTCAGAGCCCAAGTGGGATTGTCTTGG